ATATTCGCTAATTTGTAAAATCGGACCGGGGATTTAATTATAAAGTGCATTTACGACTGCGATTACTAGAATAACGAGACAAGCAATGAATTGCTTCTCGAGATTCTCTCAAAGGTTAAGATCAGAAGGCAGTTTGTGTAAATAACAAAGATTTATATCATGAACAAGTAAACAATAAAGCTATAGTGTTTGATATTCTTTCTGCAATATGTATATTTCATGTTCCCAAGGAGATCAATGGGCATGGATTAACATAAACCAAATTATTTACAGCAGTAATAACGTTCTTAGCGATTGAAGTAGCTACTTGTTGCGTCATTTTGATAAAGTTTTAGAAAAATAATTGTTTTTTTTTCGTTTCGGGTGGTTTTTGATATCAGAATGATTAGTCACGCACTTATTATTGCGATTGGAAACTACAATCGTCAGTTGTTGCCTGGCTTTGTTTGTTTTAGTTGTGTGAAGCCTACTTTATTATTTTTGTTAGTACCTATTTTTGCTTTCAATTATCCGATACCAATTAATTTATTACTATTTTTATCACTTTTCATTGTTCCATTAACGTGTTATATTTCGTTCTCATTGGAGTTTGTGTGTTCTTGACACTTATGTGTTCTAGACCAAGTCCCAGTGGATTACAGATTTAAGAATAACAAATTATAATTTTGATTTTATCTTTTAAAAAATCCTTCCTAGTTTATACGTTAAATAAAACAACAATCTTCAATTCTATAAATTGCTCAACAAAATTACTCAGCAAAATACATTTAGAAACTTGTATTGTTTTCGTTTCATGAACAGAAGAAGATTTATTTCAGTTGTAATGGATATGAAACTGAAAATATGAGAAAACAAGATCCGTAAATATATTTCTGTTCAGTACTGCGTGTGGAACTATTTATCATTGGTGGGAAGTCAGTAAATATTCGCTCGAGGACGTCAGTCTTCAGCATTAAGTGCTGAACGGATGTCAGTGATGGTGGGCATCATTGGACAATTAAGTGCTAGAGTTGATATTTATATTGAGTGAGTTATTGACCAGTAAGTATAATTTTATTGTTGTGTAAGTCAACAATATTTATGAAAGCTTTAAGGTGAAATGTGAGGATGCTTCGTTGATAGATTGTTCGTAACAGTGGTAGTTTGATATCCAAAATGATGGTTGCCAATGATTAAATAACAATAATGGAGAAAGCTCAGTAGTACACAAATAGCTTAAGTTAAGTCGATTATTTTAAAAACACTTTTTGCTTGCGTTTCTTTCATGAATATTTTGTGTAACATCATCATTATCAACAGCCTGTAAGTGACTTCTGAAGAGCAAAGATTTCTTCTAACACGTAGAGGCTGGAGCTCTTGTTTGAGTCTTAATAATGTTGTGTTGATCACCCTGCGTAAAAGTAAGTCATCTCCAATGCGCTAGTTAAACACCATACTTGTTTAACTCCTTACTTGAATGCAAAATATAACTTAGGTTATTCTGTAGCTTTGTATATATTAACTGTTACATCTTAATTTAGGATATCGACTACATTATTGCGAAACCTAGAGACGCTCCAATTAGTTTCCTATCAGATCTAATTTAGAGTTTCTATAAATTGCTCAATAGTCGGTAGATCTGAATTCGATTCAAGGTCACCTATTTAATTGGCAAAGTTTCCACAGAATATGAATGGGTTATATCGTTTCTGTGATTGTATTTATTTGTGTTTATTTTTACTATCATAGTTGTTCTCCTAACGTGAGGTAGACACATAATTATTACTATATTATGAACTAATTAAACTACAAAATTACGCCAAAACAATACTAGAATATATTGATAATAACGGTTTACTTAAATGAACTAATTGAGAAAGCTTTACTCGCACTCGTTTCATGACACATTGAGGGCTACCCGAGATCTACAGAAAATATTAATTCTATTATAAAATTGTGTTGCTTAAAAATAGTTTTACTTTATTATATTCACAATTCATTCATTGGGAAGCCTCATTTTACTTTACTTTGATTGTGGAGCCTCACTACTTATGTTTTCCGAGGCTTGACGGTTTTCTAGTTCCTCTGGCACTAAGGCCTGGACTAAGTTTAGGTGCGAGAGTTCATCACTCCAGATTGCTTTCCTGAGGACACGGCGGTGTTCAGCCTAAGCAGGGCACCGCCAACCTATGCTCTACTGTGCCCTTGAGGTGTAATGCTTTCCTCAGCTTGGAAGTCACATCCGTATTCCCAACGCTCAATCAACAGTTTTCAACGAAGCAGTTTATTTAGTAGTTAGTATATTTTTAGCTCCTAGTTATTAGGTATTGAAATGTAAACTCAGTGATTTTGATGTATGTTTGGTTTAGTGGCAGATTCGTGGAAACCGCAACGCTTATTTTGATAGCGGTTTACTGTGTAAATTTAGTAGAATATTTTTTTCAACCTTGCCAGATACCGGGATTATCAAAGTTCAGCGGAATGTATTTTGTTTTTGTTTTACGTCACGTTTATATGTAAAATTGCATCATTTCATTCTGGGTATGGAGGGTTTATGTTCAAGTGTGGAAGACAAGAGTTCTGAAGTTTGCGAGATGTTGATATGGAATCCGATATGTTGTCATCATAATATTTTAGTTGTTTAGGTATAATGAATGATAGGTCAACAAACAAGCTGAAGTATTACATGGAAATTGACGCAAGGAAATTGCAGACTGTTACTGACTGAAAACGACCTCATACTGTCTCCTGCTCCAGACTGAGCTGCACCAAACCCCAACTGGACTTTTGTAACGACCTGCCGTCACTTTTGGATTGGTCGCATTTTGTATTATAGAAAAACTACATGTGTATTTCTATTTCTATCTACATTACTAACACGTCATTGTTATTTAATTGCTCTAATAACACCTTGACCATATAAATAAAAACACACCATAAATATTTCTATCACTAAAAACGAAAATGTTGGGTAAGTTAAAAGAAAATAAGAAAATATAGCCCAAACATTACCATTGTCCAGTCTTACCAAACACAAATGAAAAGCAGCTCTATTCTCTGTTGTTGAAGGTTGGTTGTAGAGTGGAGGTAGAGGGGAAACTTATGGAAATTTTCCTGGTCATAAAATAAAAGAGTCCGTTTTTGTAAATGTCAGTTGATTATTATATAAGTGAACGCGTTAGCCAGATGGCGGTAGGCGTTGCCAAGTATACGTACAATGACAGAGTTACAAAAAAGATTTACCGAGCGATAAATTGCGAACGCGCAAATATTTATTATTTGGATAAATAGTTTTGAGAATTTATTTGGTGAAATAGAAATATGTTTTCTGTTTGATAGACGATGTAGATTTTTTATTTTTTAATGTTAATCTATTTTTAAAGATTTCTCCTGTGTCTTTTACGAACACAAAACTTCACATTTACTAGGAGGCCCAATCCTTCTCCTCCCCTGATCCCTCCTCAATCCCTAAGTCTCCAAATCCCTAATCCCTAAAAGGTCGGCAACGCACTCGTAACTCCTCCGTTGCGGGTGTCCATGGGCGGCGCTGATTGCTTACCATCAGGTAATCCGTCTGCTCGTTTGCCGACCTACCACATAAAGAAATATACTTAATAGATCATTTCACTTAAATACGGACCAAAAATTTGTGGATCGCACAAAGATACGGGCAGCCAGGTTGCCCAGCCACCGCGTTAACCATTTATCTACTTTGATAATTGTTTATTCTTTGATTGTAGAAATTGCATTTGATAACTGAACTGATCATAAGGCGTAAGGTTGAACTCTTAAGGCGTAAGGTAGAGGGTGTGAAGTACCTATAAAGGCAAACATCGTGAGTGAAACTTGTATTTTTATTTCTAATCATAAGCATGAAATCGCCTTGAGTAAGCTTGGTGATTAATGTCTAATTCTTCTTTGTGAGAGAGAAGTGGTCTTTGCTGGCACCTTAAGGCTGATGATTTGATGATGTAGGTATGGTTGTCCATTCAATTCAGCAATTTAGATGTACCCTGTATATAGCACGGCGACACCGCTCATTCAATAGTTCAAGTTAGTTAGTGTCCAATACACCTTTGCATAGAACGCACGTTGTTTTATTCAAAATAGTCGCATACGAATTACGACCTTATCACCCTAACAATGGTACCACAGTGATATGAAAAGTAGTTAATATAGTGAAATATATACAGAAAAATAAGCTTTCTCTTCAAACATTCTACGTACCTAATGTTTATTCCTTCGAGAAAAGGGTGTGCCATTAAATTATGTTAATAAGCATCGGTTAGGAACCGACCAGAATTGACTCTGTCCCGAAAAAAGTAACCTCCGAAATAGCTTCAATATTGTACTTACCCCGCTATTTAGTATGCCGGGCATAACGGAAAACAAGGCCGGCCAATTTTCTGAGAGATTCCCATTTTCCTACTTTTAGTTGAGGCGTTTCGTAACCAAAAATAGGATTGGGGTAAACGAACGCCCTCATTTACCTACTACAGACATTAATGAACGGAGACTAAAGGAAATGACGAAGTTTTTGAAGAGAGAATTTAATGAAATTTGTAACTTATTCGCAATATATTAAGATCTAAAAACTTTTATCGCAGAAATACGCTTTTAAGAACTGTATATGATGTCACTTATAATCAGTACAGAATCACGGTGTGGGTGAGCCATGCTTTGGCGCAAATGGGCTGATTAAACCGATGGAGTACACACGGGATACCGGTCTGATACAATAAGACCCAATTATTACACCCTCATCCATCCCTAATCTCTGGATTTCCAAAAACCTACTCCCTAAAAGGACGGCAACGAACTTAAAACTCCTCTGGTGTTCCGAGTATCTCGGATAGACGGTGCAAATTGCTTACCATCAGGTAATCCGTCAGCTCGTCTGTTGACTTATTTCATAAACAGATTATGCTCGCTTCGTTAATTTGATTAAATATGAGTAGGTACTGTGACCAGAATATGTTTTTTATCATGCAATTGATATATTATGAATATTTCAAACTTACCGTTATAAATGAGGTATTATCAGCAGATATTTATCCTGTGAACAAAAGAATTATTTTTTTTAATTTTTTGTTACTTAAAAAAGAGGTTTTTCTGCAAAAATCATGGCTTAGTTTAAAAAGAATGCAATACAGTTTTGAATTCACTATACAATTATTATCATAGAACCGGGGCTCTAAGAAAGAAGGTTTACATAGGAATGTCTCTGTAATACAATAAACCCAAAAGCGTCTTCAAATTCTGTGATTTTAAACTTTAATACAAACAAAATAAGTAACAAAATATAATATCACTACCGCATATAAAATACAACAAAAGTGATATAATTTCCAGCCAAACTTCTCAGACTCAACGAAATAAGTTTAAAACTGGAACGTTTTCGGCCATGTTGTGACGTCACACTGCTACAAAGCGATCCGTATCGACGTTCCGTGATAATGTCCAACGTTTCTAGCTGAACACAATAAACCGTTGAAGACATTATTATGTATTATCTGTCTGTCTGTCTGTTTATTTATATTTTCCTTTAAAACTTGTCTTTGTTTTGGAGATAAGAGGAAATCAGACTTGAGTGCTAGCCTTGATACTAGGTCTTTACAGTTGTAAGGTAGATTCTAAGTTTATTTACGGACTTAGATTTTGACTATAAAATGTAAATTGTAAGTAATAAGTTCTTACAGATAACTTGATAGGGTACTTATATTTAAAACTAAGTTAACTACAAGTAATAGCATGATGTTTTATAGCTGAAAGCCTTCGTCGATAAATATACTAACATACATAAAAAATTTATTCAATTTAAACCAGTAGTTCTGGAGATTAGTGCATTCCAACAAACAAACAAACAAACAAAATCTCCAGCTTTATAATCATTATAAAGCTGGAGATTTTGTTTTATATATATTTAGAATAAGTTACGGAATAAATACCTTATGTTTTTTTTCAGAGAAGTAAATTCGAGCGTTACTATAAGGCCTTGTTCTGTTGAAATATTCTTTAGATCAAAGTAATGACAAGTATGTTGCTTTCGTTTTAGGATAAGAAGTAGAACCCCTTTTTATTCTTCTTTAAAAAAAGTTAAACCGTAATATCGAAACAATCAAAATAAACTCTTTTGTTATGTGATGTAAGCGCAAATACAAGGCGGATTACCTGATGGTAAGCAATTGGTGCGTCCGTGCATCCGTCCAAGGACAGCCGACTTTGCCGGCCTTTTTTGGAGATTTAGGGATTGGGGGAAGGAAAAATAATTGGACCTCCGGTAACTTTACTCACACGGCGAAACACAATGCTGTGGTTATTTCACTCCAGTTTTCTGTGCTACCGTGGTATAACTCCGGTCAAGCCAATCCATTCGTGCCAAAACATGGCTCTCCCACACTTACTTTGCCCAACTTTGTGAAAATCCAGAAGCTTTTCGAGTTTTCACAGCAAACAATAGAGTCCAGAATATGCCCAACGATGGGGAACGGGTAACAATACGTTTCGTAAACTTGGGAGTTAGACCGACGCGCCACGCCAAGATGGCTATTGTACTCCTAAATCCACTTTCCATAGTAACTGTTAAGTTTATGTTAAATTACATAATAAATGTTATTCTTGTTTCTTTCTCTTAGAGGTAAGCTAAATGTGGTGGATTATGTCTTGTATATTGGGCAGAATCCCTAACTTTTAGCATACTTATGGGTATGACACAGTGAAATATCTTAGTTTGAGAAAATATACTAGAACAGTTATATAAGTAATTGAAACTCTCTCGTCCCTATATATATTACTTTGGATTATGGGATAACCTAGTTACTGGATTTTGTCAATAAAGTATGCTTTATTAGAGTAAGAATCATGAATTTAAAACATAACCTTAACTTTTATATAAGGCTTACAGATTACTCACACGAAGACAAACCGACGGTATAATCCAGTACTCATAGTAACCTTTATGTATATAGTAATGTATGTACATATATTATACTATAGCCTCGTATTTTCACAGTAGGTATTCCCAGAATGGTATTTGAAAAATAAATTAATTCTTATATTTCATTAACACAGTATGTGCGTTTCCTCGCACGCACATACGCGTCGGGGGCACTGAATGTGTTAAAAAACATGGCGCATGATGAAACTTTGCCACCCTACTGCAGAAAAAAAAAATGCTGGACGTTATTCCAGTTTATTCATGCGGGAACGTGTGCTATACATTGCGGACTTTAAAACAAATGCATATTTTTATTTCAAACCAAACCAAGCTTATAATTGGGCCTAACGTATTCCCGATACCAATCAGTCGTATACCTGCACACAAAACATTTTTCACTCTGTCTGCCCGTACTTACGGTTGACAATTGATTGATGAGGGTCCAGGGCATATGGCATGAATGTTGCTCTTTTCCCAAATTATTTGCGTTTGCTAGATACGGGGTGTCCGAATAATAATTGGATTTGTGTAGGATCTAGATAAGTGCTTCTTAAGCCCGCACTCTGAGACGTCATTTTATCGATGTAATATGTTGTTAGAGAAGGGGCTGCACAATTTATTTTTAATTTTATTTCAGTTTCTAAATTATAGAAAAGAACAGAACCTATTTCGTAAAAAAGCTTTTTCTTCTGCAAAATATTTTACTCGTACATACATGCATACAATAAATTTAAACCTGCCATATTTTGCGTTGTAATGGAGCTATGGTGCCAATCCAGACATCAGTTTTAATTTTTTGACGTACTAAAATGCTGTTTTATGGCCTATTGGCGAAAAATAATTGATTGTTTCATTGATTTATTCAACATTTTCTTCAAAGTATACCTACCTAATTCTTTCGAAATTACCAGTTCGACTATATCTGTCAAATTATATTTCTTAATTTAACTTGATGTTTTTCTTTTTTATATCAAACCCATACATAATGAAATGATTGATGTTCAATTTACGCTCAAAGATGAATCGAAAACATTTAGAGTAGCCTAGTAAAATTTTAGGACCGAAATTCTAAATGGATCAAATATTATTCATCATTCTTGGTTACGGGACTTGTAAATTGAACTTTTGTGAACGAAAACCTCTTTGGTCGACCTCAAAATTTAAATAACGTTCCTCGTTTACGACCATATTTATTTCAAATCTGTTGTGGGTTTTGATTAGAATTATTTGAGTGCGTGACAAAGACGAACATATACCGGATTTCTCATATTTATTAAATTAATGACACATTACAACATAGTTTAAAACAAAGTCGCTTTTTCTGTCTCTATATACATATGTATGCTTCAATCTTTAAAACTAAGCAACGGATTTTTATGCAGTTTTTTAATAGACGAAGGTTTATATGTATATTTAACATCTATTATATATAATTATGTGTACATATACTTAACCCTTGCGTAGCCGAGGCGGGTCGCTTGTATGTCATAAAACATATTTTCTTTGTGACAATTTTAGAAAACATTGCTTGTTTTTAAATTAAATGATAATTGTAATTATTTATTTTTATTTCAAGTCTACATCGAGTTACGAATAATGTTTTTAATAAATATGAGGAATGCTCGTGTATACATCAGTTACGTTTCACCGTTTCAAATTTTTCTTTTATTCATAATATAATATGTTAGACGATACCTTTAAGTTTCTTTTTATTTATTTTCACAATGAAAGTACGTTGAGGTAAAAACCAAATAACAAACAACTGTGCACAAAAGATGAAAGCCACTGTAGATCCAAAATAATACTAAGAAAAGAATTCAGATCTGCTTACATTTTACCAAAAAACGTTGTAGCTGTGTGTAGTGTATAATTAATTTTAAACATTAGAAACCCTTACAGTATTGCCATGTAAAATCGCAATCTAAAATTACCACCAAAAACTTAACATACATCACTTGTCTAGTTTGTATAAATTAGTAAACAAATCCTTAAGAGCGGCGCTCTTGGCCAGTTTTGTATTTTTTGGAAAGTATCAAATAGTGGCACGTTTTCCAATGACCGCTTGTTCATAGGAGACAGGACACAGGCGAAACCTAAGAAAGGTGCAATGTTTTATAAAGGGTATCCTTTTAAATGCTTCTAATATTGAGAATTTATTTTAACCTGCATGTCTTCAAGGCCCGAGTGAATAGGTTGTATATGGGTAAGCGTGCTCCAACGTAGGTCGCTTCATCGCTTAGCACCGGGTGTAAAAGCGGCCAAATGACTGGGCAATACGAATTAAAAAAAACACTAGAAGTTACTCAGTGATCCTATTTGTTACGATCTTTATTATGAAAATGACTCAATTCCTTGGCTAACACTTCAATGCACTCAACTGGCATTGAAGCCGTCAATGCTAGTATAAATTATGATCCCAAATCACTCATATGTTTGATATTAGAAGGTGATTCATATAATATTGCTCGCACTGCCAAAAATACTTCAATGTTCCCAAATATCCGGTTCTAGGTGTTTTGTTACTAAAACAAAATATTACCTGGTAAGTACCAATTTGTCAGCCGTGGGGTAAGCGTGATTATGTACCATGGCCGAGCCCGAAGTAAGAGAGCCTAATCCCTCCTCCCAATCCTCAATCCTGAAAATTCCCTTTCCTTAAATCTATACTAATATTATAAAGAGGTAAAATTTGTAGGTTTGTAAGTTTGTAGGTATGTAGGGTATAATATTTGGAACAGCTGGTCGGATTGCCAAAATTCTTTCACTGATAGATAGCTACAATGTTCCTGAGTGCCATAGCCTATAAAACATAACGCTACGATAAAATGGAGCTGAGCAACGGGTGAAACCGCGCGAGAGGAGCTAGGCCCTAATAACTCACAAGTGGTCGGCAACGCACTTGTAGTAACTCCTTTAGTATTATGAATGTATGTAAATGGCCATGTGCAGCGCTGATTTCATACCACCAGGTAACTTGTCTGCTCGTTTGCTGACCTATGTTATGTCAGTAAAAGTCAACTGAGCTCGATGTGAGGTCTGTCTGTCCTATTAGGTGGACCTTACTGATGGAAAGTGGGTAGCACATCATTATTTGTGTAATCTTTTTATAATATAATGTT